AAAAGGACACTTATTTGAAGAAACACTAAAATATTAATATTGATAATCAATATGGAATAAAGGGAGCATTATTTTTTTTTAATATTATTTTTAATAATAAAGGAAATTATGGATTTCTCAACCTCATAATGATATAATTGAATAAATACACTTATTTTTTTAGAAATACTAGAAGGGTATTTGCACAATACAACGAGATATATCTTGATTTTAATGTTTCATTTTACTTTTTTGTCTCGATCGATGTTATAATACGGTTTTATATGATTTTGAGAAAACAATAAGTGGTACTGACAATTATCGAATATGGGCTTGTGCTATGACCTTAGCTCTTGAAACCAAGAATAAACTTGGATTTATTGATGGAACTTGTGTTAGACCTATTGATGATTCTGCTCTTCAAAAACAATGAGAAGATGTAATTATGTTGTGTTAAGTTGGATTTTAAGTTCTGTAACTGAAGAATTGTTTTTAGGTCAAGTGTTTTCAAATGACTCCTCTAAAGTGTGGGGAGAATTAAAAGAAACTTATGACAAAGTTGATGGGTCTGTTACGTTTAATCTTTATCAAAAAAATTAATTGTTTAAGTCAAAATAGGTCTTCTGTTTCTGAATATTATCTCAAACTAAATTTTCTATGGAAACAGTTTGATGCTCTTGTTACTCTTTTCACCTGCACTTGTAATGCTTCTCAAGAGTTTTTCAATCACTCTTAGTTAAAGCTTATGTAGTTTTTAATGGGTCTTGATAATGTCTATCAACCTATCAAGAGTAATATACTTTCAAGGGATCCCCTTCCCTTTATCAAAACTGTTTTTTCTCTTATATCTAGGGAAGAATCTCATCTTGGGGTGTTTTCTGGGAACAAAAGTCAAAACAATGCCTTTTTTAGTAAAGTTGGTGAAAACAATAGAAGGACTGGTAGGCAACAATCAAATTTACTATGTAAACATAGTGTTATGTCTGGCCATACTATCGAAAGATGTTTCAAACTCAATGGTTTTCCAAAGGATTTTCAAAATAGACCACCTAAACCATCAAATCTTGATTTTAAGTCTGTGTCTAGTAATGGTTGTGTAACAGACTCTCTTGGAAAAGAAAAACCTCTTCATCCTTTCACACCTTCTCTTTCTGAAGAACAAGTGATTAAACTTCTTGCCTTGCTGGATCAAAAGAGCATTCCTGAGACTATGTCTGATAATATGGCAGGTGTGTCAAAATTTTATAAATCTAGTTGGATTATTGATTCTGGAGCCAATCAACATGTGACATCTAGTTTTTCAAATTCGGATAATGTGGTTGACAAATTTAAATCTAAAGGTTAACATCCTAATGTAACAGATGCAAAAGTTAATAAAATTGGAAACTTAAAGTTGTCTAATAATGTTACTCTGTTTGATGTCTTAGTGGTTCCTGACTTCAATGTCAATTTGTTGTATGTTCACAAACTTGCTAGAGGTATTAAGTTGTATGTGGGGTTTGATAGTCTCGAAAAAGAATGTAATGAGGATTGGTAGTCAAGATGGTGGTTTGTATTATTTTTTTTACTAATGTGCTAAGAGTAAGTTGGTCCTTATTTCTGCTTCTCCTATTGCTCAACGTTGTGTTTCTAGTCAATTGTGGCACAATCGTCTGGGTCATCCTTCTGATCAAGTCTTGATTGTTTTAAAAGATCAACTGCAGATTGGAAGTGATGCTACTCATCCTTGTGAAATTTGTCATATGGCCAAACAAACTAGGGAAAAGTTTAATGTAAGTGATCATAAATTTAAGTCCCTAGGTGATCTTGTTCATTTAAATGTTTGGGGTTCTTATAGGGTGATCAACAAGGAAGGATTTAAGTTTTTTTTTTACTATAGTGAATGATTATACTCGTGTTGTTTGGGTGTATTTGTTAAAAGGTAAACATGAAGTTGCTGATAATATTGTGTCTTTCTACAATTTGTTAGGAACCCAATTTAGCAAGCAGATTAAGGTGTTTAGATGTGATAATGGAACTGAGTTTACTAATTCCTCATTAGGTGAGTTTTTTAAAACTAAAGGAATTATTCATCAGACGTCTTGCGTTCATATTCCCCAACAAAATGGGGTTGTGGAACGCAAACATCGTCATATGTTGTATATGGTTAAAGCTCTTATGTTTCAGGGAGAAATTCCTTTAAAAATGTGGAATGTATGTATATTAACTGCCACTTATCTCATAAATAGAACACCTTCCTCCATTTTAGGAGGGAAGTGTCCTTATGAGCTTGTTTATGGATTCCAACCTGTTTTAACTCATCTGAGGAATTTTGGTTGTCTTTGTTTTGCTACCAAAACTAATGTTTCTAATAAATTTTCTTCAAGAGCTTGCTAATTCTCAAAAGGGTTATAAGTTGTTTAGTCTTGATACAAATAAAATAATTGTTTCTCGAGATGTCAAGTTTTATGAAACTATATTTCCTTTTAAAATGAGTTTAAACAAGTTGGATAGTCATATTAAACAGTGAAGTAAATAATCTAAATTCTTTTGACTTATCCTTTGGTTCATCTACTAATATTTCTGATTTACCACCCGATGATAAGGTTAGAGATCAACCTCCTTTGGAGGAAAATAATCAATCTGTCTTTTGGTAATAGCCCAAGTAGAGCTGCCAGTAGGCAACAACTAGGTAGCATAAATATCCTCAATGAAAATCCTAGAGGAGTTACCAGTATGCAATCACTGAGTAGCTCAGAGGTAACTGCCAGAGATAGTATAGGGTCTGGTGTGCAATTTTTGGATGCTCACTGAAGACTCAATCATGCTGAAATTCAGATATCCAACATGAGGGTAGTTCTACTCTCCAATCTGGTCCTAGTACCCGAAGAATAACTAGAGCTTCCAACTTTTCTAAAAGATTTGATGATTTTGTAATATAAGGCAAAGTTAGTTATGTAATAGAAAGAGTGGTAAACTACTCTAAATTGAATTCTGAAATTTTTTGTTTTCTATCAAATTTAAAGAAGTTTATTGAGCCAAAGACTTTTTCAAAAGCATGTAATGATAAAAATTGGATTTCTGCTATGAATGATGAAATGGAAGCTCTGTATAGAAATGGTACTTGGATTATTACTGATTTACCTCTTGGGAGGAAGCCCATAGGTTGTAAATGGATTTATAAAGTTAAATATAAATCATCTGAAGAGATAGAAAGATATAAGGCTAGATTAGTAGCTAGATGATATAGTCAAAGAGAGGATCTTGATTATAAATAAACTTTCTCTCCTGTTGTAAAAATGGTCACTTTCAGATGTATAAAGCTAGATTAGTATCTAAATGATATAGTCAAAGAGAGGGTTCTGAATATGAAAAAGCTTTCTCTTCTGTTGTAAAAAGGGTCACTGTCATATTATTATTGCTCTTGTTGTTCAAAATAATTGGTCATTATTTCATCTTGATGTAAATAATGTTTTCTTATATGGTGATCTGTCTGAAGAAGTATATATGACTTTACCTGAAGGATATTTCAACTCTAGTGACAAAAGAATGTGTAAACTTGTAAAGTCTCTATATGGTTAAAGCAAGCACCACGTCAGTGGTATGCTAAATTGTCTTATTGTCTCATTGCTAATGGTTTTGTTCAAAGTATAAATGACTATTCTCTTTTTATCAAATATAGTAACTTTGGGTTTGTTATTCTGTTAGTATATGTTGATAATATAGTTATAACTGGAAATAATCTAATGGAAATAAATCATGTCAAAACTTATTTAAAAAATAACTTTTTAATTAAGGATCTTGGCAAGTTGAAATTTTTCTTAGGAATTGAAATTCTTAATTTTTATGGAGGTATATGCATGTCTCAAAGAAAGTATTTTTTTGGAATTAATAAATGATTTTGGTTATTTAGGATGTAAACTAATTAATATTCCTATGGACATGAACCTTACCATTATAGATTATGTGAATTCTCCATCTTGTGATCCATCCTTGCATGATTTTACCAGTTACCAAGAAAGGGAGTGGGTTTTACCAGGTCAGGATCTTTTCTTTTGTCTGCTTATGTTGATGCTGACTGGGGGAAATGTCTTTCTTCAAGAAGGTTTGTTACTAGTTATTGTTTATTTCTTGGAAAAGCAAGAAACAAAATACAATTTCCCATTCTTCTGCTGAGTCAGAATACAGAAGTATGGCTTATGTTACTTGTGAAATAATCTAAGTTCTTAAGGTTTTATCTGATTTAAGAATTAAAGACTTACTTCATGTAAATCTATATTGTGATAATAAATCCGCAGTAAAAATAGCTTACAATCCTGTGTTTCATGAACACACTAAACA